AACCTGATGCTCCCACTCCTTCCCTCAGCAAGGAGTTGTGGAGGCTCAGGGGGGAGCCAGAACTTCCAGTCCCACCCAGAAATCACCAGAAGTATCTCCTACTCATGAGTTAACAGAGGCTAAGAGGGAACATGGACTTCCACAAGCACCTGGCAATAGAGACAGTGCCTTCACCTTTCCCCCCCCCCCAATGGTATGATAACAGAGGAAATAATAATTGATCTTGAAGGAAGAAACAGAGAAATAACCTAATCAGGACAATGGAGAGGAAATGTATGGAGGTTAAACAAACAACCAAAAGGAGGTCAATAACAAACATTCTCACAATCCTGTCATTAGAATCCTGTAAGGACTGAATAGAGTATAGGACTGAAAGAGTACTCTAAGAAACAATGCCTAACACCTCAGATTTTCAAAAGACATGAACCTACTAATTCAAGAAGCTTAGGAAACTCCTATCAGGGTAAACATGAAGAAATCCACACCAAGACACATCACAGTCAAACTTCAGAAAACTAAAAACAGAGAAAAGTTCTTCAAAGTGGCAAGAGAGAAACGCCTTCCCACAAGGAAAAACAATATTCAAATTAAGTCCAAGTTTTCATCAGAAACCAAGGAAGCCAGAAGAAAGTGGCACATTTTTTAAGTGCTAAAGGAAAAGAATTGTCCTCCCAGAATCCTATAACTCGCAAAAATATCTTCAGGACTGAAGTAAAAACCAATATATTCTCAGATGAAGGAACACTAAAAGAACTGATTGCCAGCAAAATATCCCAATGCAATGGCTAAGAGGAAGTTTTTTTAGTAAAAAGAAATGATAAAAGAAATAATCTTGGAACATCAAAAAAGATGAAAAACCAGGATAAGCAAATAAACAGAAGAAAACAATAAACCTTTCTCCTTTTGAGTTTTCTGAATCAGGTTCTCCGCTGAGGCAAAATTATAGCATGGTCTGACACAGACATCAAAGTATATAGAGGAAATGTTTAAGACAATATATTAAAAACAGGAGAGTAAAAGGGATATTCTAAAAGGGAAGATTTCTACATGTCACTAGAAGTGGTAAAATGATGACAGCAGATTTTCATGATTGATAGACAGATAGATAGCAAATATATAAGATGTCCAGACTAACCAGCTAAAAGAAACTGCAAAAAGATACACACAAATGCAGTGTAGATAAATAAAATTTGGATTCTAAAAGATTGTTCAAGTACCTATAGGAAGGCAGAGAAAAGAAAACAAAAATTAAAATAGGAAGAATGAATTGAAAAAAAATTAAATGACATGCTTGAGTTCTAGTATACATACAATATAGCATAAAAAGAAAATGGCCAACACAGCAATCAGATAAAACAAAGAAATAAAAGGCACCCAGATAGGCAAAGAACAAGTTAAACTGTCACTGTTCGTGGATGACATGATATTGTGAATAAAAAACCCTAAAGAATCCACTCCAAAATTAGGGAACTAATATCTGAATTCAGCAAGGTTTCAGGATACAAAATTAATACACAGAAATCTGTTGCATTCCTATATACTAATAATGAACCAGAAAAAAAGAAATCAGGAAAACAATTCCATTCAGAATTGCATGAACAAGAATAAAATACCTAGGAATAAACCTAATGAAGGAAGTGAAAGACCTATACTCTGAAAACTACAGAACACTCATGAGAGAAATTAAAGAAGATACCAATAAATGAAAAGACATTCCATGCTCATGGATGGGAAGAATTAATATTGCCAAAATGGCCATCCTGCCTAAAGCAATCTATAGATTCAATGCAATGCCTAACACCTCAGATTTTCAAAAGACATGAACCTACTAATTCCAACAGCATTCTTCAATGAACTATGGCAAATAGTTCTAAAATTCATATGGAATTATAAAAGACCCTGAACAGCCAAAGCAAACCTGAGAAGGAAGAATAAAGCAGAGGGATTATGGACCTTAATTTTAAGTTCTACTACAAAGCCACAGTAATCAAGACAATTTGGTACTGGCACAAGAACAGACCCATAGAGCAATGGAACAGAATAAAGGGCAAAGATATAAACCCACACATATATGGAAAATTATTATATGAGATAGGAGCCATGGTTATACAATGGGGAAAGACAGCCTCTTCAACAAATGGTGTTAGCAAAACTGGACAGCTTCATGTAAGAGAATAAAACTGGATTATTGTCTAATCTCATATACAACAGTAAGCTTGAAATCGATCAAAGAGCTGAAAGTAAGTCATGAAACCATGAAACTCATAGAAGAAAACATAGGCAAAAATCTCTTGAATATAAACACGAGCAACTTTTTCCTGAGCTCATCTCCTTGGGCAAGGGAAACAAAAGCAAAAATGAACAAATGGGACCACATCAAATTAAAGTGCTTCTGTACAGCAAAGGACACCATCAGCAGAACAAAAAGGCATCCTACAATATAGAAGAATATGTCCATCAATGACTAAATCCCATGAGGAGTTAACATCCAAAATATATAAAGAACTCACAAGCCTCAACCCCTCAAAAGCAAATAACCCAATTAAAACATGGGCAGAGGATCTGAACTGACACTTCTCCAAAGAAGAAATTCGAATGGCCCACAGGCACATGAAATGATGCTCCACATCACTAGTCATCAGTGATATGCAAATTAAAACAACAATGAGATATCACCTCACACCAGTTAGAATGGCCAACATTCATAAGACAAACAACAACAAATGCTGGTGAGGACACCGAGAGAGGGGTCCCTCCTACACTGTCGGTAGGAATGTAAATTAGTTCAACCACTGTGGAAAGCAGTATGGAGGTTCCTCAAAAAACTAAAAGTAGAAATACCATTTGACCCAGGAATTCCACTCCTAGGAATTAACCTGAAGAAAAACAGATCCCTGATTCAAAGACATAAGCACCCCTATGTTTATTGCAGCACAATTTACAATAGCCAGGATGTGGAAGCAACCTAAGCATCCATCAATAGACAAATGGATACAGAAGATGTGGTACATATACACAATGGAATATTTTTCAGCCATCAGAAGAAAACAAATCCTACCATTTGCAACAACATGGATGGAACTAGAAGGCATTATGCTCAGTGAAAAAGCCAGCTGGAGAAAGACACGTACCGAATGATTTAACTCATCTGTGGAGTGTAACAACAAAGAAAACTGAAGGAACACAACAGCAGCAGATTCACAGACTCCAAGAAGGAACTAGCAGTAACCAAAGGGACGGGGCTGGTGAGGGTGGGTGGGGAGGGAGGGAGAAGGGGATTAAGGGGCACTATAATTAGCCAATCACAACAGTGGTAGGTCACCGGGAAGAAAGTACAGCACAGAGATGACAAGTAATGACTCTATAGCATCTGACTATGCTGGTAGACAGTGACTGTAATGGGGTGGGTGGGGGAATTTGCCAATAGGGGTGAATGCTGAAACCACAATGTTACTCATGTGAAACCTTCATAAGATTGTCTATCAATAATACCTTAAATTAATTAATTAATTAATACTAAATAAACAAGCTGGCAAAAAGAAAAAAACATACCAGGATTAATGATAGGTATTACATAATGACAGAGTGGTCAACTCTCAAAGAAAACATAATTTGTATGGACCACAAAACTCGGTGTTCACACACATGAGGCAAACACTGATGAGACAAGTCTACTTTTAGAGATGTAAACTTTAACACCCCTTTATTGGTAATGGATGCTTCCAGCAGGCAGAAAATCAGGAAAGTACAGTTGAACTGAACAACTCCATCAATTAACTAGATGTACATGGTACTGGGAATTACACACACGTAAGACAACATCAGAAAACACGTTCTGTTCAAGCTCCCGGGGAACATACCCCAAGAAAGATCCCATTCTGTGCCCTAAAATTTCCAACCGAATGTCAAAGAACACAAGTCATCCAAAGAATACTTTTCAGGCCCCCAAATACTCCCTCCTGGGGGTGCTGAGGGGAATGAGAGGCTTAGTGGGAGGCCAGCTGACTCAGCTCAGCAGAGCCTCGAGTCCCAGGCCCAGCCCTGTGGGACTCTCAGCAGAAGCAAGCCGGTCCCTCCCCCGACTGGCCCCACTCTAGCCACAAAACCCCTTCACACCAACCGTACTCCTCCCCCACCCCGAGTGGGAGGCCCGGTGCACAGGACCCTGAGTAGCCCTTCCTAACTTCCGCCTATCCATGCTGTGGGTGGGGGCGGAGGCCTTGTGGGAGAGCTGCTATCCTGGTAGAGCACACGGACAAGCCCCATGACTCTCGTCAGATGCTGAGGTGCCAGGTGTCTGGAGTAAGAATTGTGAGGATGTGTCCCCGATAGCCCCCAAACCCCTTTCCCCAGAAAAGAGGCGGCCACACAGGCCCGGCCCCACCTGCCCCAACTCGTGGTCCCGGGAGGCCCCGGCAGGGCTGTGAGGTCCCAAGTCCAATTCCTTACTGCATGGGGGCCTCAGGGACCAAGGCTTGTCCCAAAGGTGGTGGCCTCTGGCTCAGCTCAGCAGAGGGAGAAATCCCAGGCCCTGTGGAGGGAAGAGGGGCCCTCTGGGAGGAATCATGGGACTCCAGGCCCCAGAGCAGGGCCACACAGAGCCCTGCTCTTGACATCAGCCTGCAAGGGTGCGGGCAGGCCTGATGACTCAGGTGCCTACTCTCTTTTTTCTCAGCAGAGTCACAGAGGAGGGACCGTGCTGTGTGTGTGTGTGTTTGTGCGTGTGTGTTATCCTGGCAGGTGACAGAGGGTGGCTGCAGGTCAGCAGAGGATTTGTGTGTGTGTGTGTGTGTGTGTGTGTGTGTGTGTGTGTGTGTGTGCATCTGTGTGCGTTATCCTGGCAGGTGACAGAGGGTGGCTGCAGGTCAGCAGAGGGAAGATTTCCAGATCAGGCCAGGAGTCAGGATGAGTGCGTGATCTGTCCCATCCTGTCCTGTCAACCCTTAAAATAGTACAAAGGTCCAGCAGGCTAAGATGTCATATAATGTCCTATAGTCGACATGGGGGAGCTCAGAGTTTGGCTCTTAAGGTGCATTGGGACATCAGTCAATAGAAGGGGGGGTCCTGGGACCACCATTTGGCCAATGTGAGGATTCGCTGTAATTCTGAATAGCCACAAACCTGTGTTACGGAAACCCTGGCATGACTACCTCCCTGGTTCTCAGGGCTGAGTACAGGCTGACTGGGAGGTCAGGGTCCCTGGAGGCACCCTGCAGAGGCGGCCTTGACTAGGGCCCAGGCGGTGGTGTTGGGCATCTTGAGGCCGAGGGCGCTCACACACTCTTCTTCTCTCCCCTCTGCTTCTTTCTCTGCCAGATGTCTGCACGACCTGCTCTCCTACCCACGACCGTATGTGCTGTCGCTGCTGGGTGTCAGAATGTCTCTAGAGCCCAAGAGTAAGCACCACATCCAGGATAATAGCCTCCAGGCCAAGGGGGTCACCCAGGGTTCAGAAGGTGCCAGGCCAGCTGCGGCACCAGATGATGCACCAGAGCCACCTTCCTCACCCTCCACTCCTGCATCTGCTTGTGTGTATGGGTTCAGTGGCTCTACTCCAAGCTCCCCTGCAACAGGCACAGGTGCATTCCTGGTCGAGGAGCCTTGCTCAGCTGTGGCCCGCAGCTGTTCCCCTGTGGGTGCCTCCCACCGAGGAGCCTAGGAAGGTGCCCCCAGCGAAGACGAGCAGGACACAGGCTACTCCCAGGCTGAAGCCCCCGAACACAGAGCTCGGAAGGATGTGAACACCAGGAAGGTCAACAAACTGGGGCAGTTGCTGCTGGAGAAGTGTAAGACCAAGGGGCAGGTCACAGGCAGTGCTGCTCAAGATCGTCAGGAGGAAGTACAGGCACCTCTTCTCCAAGACCTTCAGGAGAACCTCTGAGCTCATGGAGCTGCTCTTTGGCCTGGAATTGAGGGAAGCCAACCGCAGAAGTCAGGCCTACACCCTGGTCGGCAAGCTGGGCCTCCCTGATGATGCAATTCTGAGGAGCGATAGTGGGCTGCCCACCACCAGCCTCATTATGTTGTTGCTCGGCATGATCTTCATGAAGGGCAACCGCGCCACCGAGGAAGAGGTCTGGGAGTTCCTCAACACGCTGGGGGTCTATGACGGCAGGAGGCATCTCATCTTCAGGGAGCCCCAGAGGCTCATTACCAAGGAGCTGGTGCAGCAGAAGTACCTGGTGTACTGCCAGGTGCCCGACCGCGACCCTCCCCGCTATGAGTTCCTGTGGGGCACCAGGGCCCATGCCGAAACCAGCAAGATGAAGGTTCCTGAGGTCCTGGCCAAGATCAACAACAGGGTTCCGACTTCCTTCTCCAACCTGTACGAGGAGGTTTTGAGGGATGAGAAGGAGGTTTTGGAAGCCAGAGCTGCAGCCAGGGTTACCACCAGGGCCGCCACCAAGGCCGGTGCCAAGAAGGCTGCCTAGGCTGCCCCTAAGGCCGCTGCCAGGGCCGCGTCTGTTGCCAGGACTGACTCTGCTGCCAAGGCCTCTGAGCCTTTAGGGGCCAAGTCCCGCAGCTCTTCCCAGGTCTAGGCAGTGCTGGAGCAGCTCTGTCATTTTGTGGGGGGAAGAGAGTGGCCAGCCCCTCCGTCAGTATAAAGTAGTAGGTCTGGAGGCGACAAAACATGTACTTTGTTTGTTTTCCTGTTCCTTATAAGTTACTTGTATGAATTTCTTTTCTTTTTTAAATTTTTCCAATATTGTTCCTTTAAATTGAAGTTTTATTTTGTTTCACAGTCTAAGGTTTATAATGCCATGGACGTAACATATATTACTGTTTAGGTTGAAAATTAAGAGTTTTGTTATTTGTAAAGAAATTAATTGAATAGCCCCCAATATTTTCTTTATGCTACAGAACAAAGTAACATGGCATTGGAATAGGATTTTTCATGGAAATGTGACAGAAACCCGTAGAAAAACATTTGGGATCACAAAATGGTGAAAGAAAAGTAAAAGCTGGTTGATTCTCAGTTTGCCTTATATTCCTTTTGCTCTTGGCTTGTAAAATTAACTAATATATATCTGGGCTTGCACAGCTTATTGTATGAGAAATTAAATGGTAACAAATTAGACATTGTGCTCATTCCATTTTTTCCCCCATTCTAGCATTGACTGAGCATGTACTCTTTGGAAGGCTCCCTAATAGTAGTACAGATGGTAACATAAAGAATATCAAGCCATGGCCCATAGATCTGCAGTCTAGCAGCAGCTATCATGTAAGGCTGACTCCGCAAGAAAGGTGTCAGAGATGTGAGGGCCTTGGCCTGAGGAGAGCAGCCTCTAGTCAGCAAAGCCCTGCTAGCAGTGAACGTGAGCCCCGGAGTAAAGACTCAGGGAACTCAGCGAAGAACTAAGAGAACCAGACACCCCCACAGCCTTGCTGGCAGCGCTGGCATACCTGGGCATTGTTGACCCAAGGTGACATACTTCCTCATAGGGCGTCACAAGGGCGTGAGGGACGTAGGGTCTAAGGCCAATGATGGCAGGATTCCCAGCTTTTTCCAGAGGCCAAGGAGAATACCCTGAGGATAAAGAGAACCAAATACCCCATCACCGTGGGAACACCATACAATTCATTCCTTATTCAGCCTCAGGAGACCAAGGACAGGTATATGGTCAGATGAGGAGACCCTCACTTCCTCCTTCCTCCTAGGGGTCCTTGGTGGCACTGGCCTTAGTACTCTGGCCTAAGGGTAAGGGAGGGAGAAATTCCAGGCCATGACAGGGGTCAGAGCCAGGCCTACGGGACTGCCAACCACTAAGCCCAGCAGAAGGGACAAGGAAAAGTCCCCTGCCTCTTCTGTTTCAGAGGGGAGCCCCAGCCCTCATCATCTACTGTCTCAGGTGGTGCTTCCCAGGGGGCTTAGAGAGTCCCGTGCACACCATTACTTGTTGGGACATTTTTGGTATAAGATCTAATGAAGGTGATTAGATCCAGGGTGAGGAACCGTCACGTTCTGCTGAGGTCTCCCTTTCTACTGAGTGATCACAGGGTGTTGCTCTAAATATGAAAGTGTGCTTGTTGGAGCAGCTCCTTCCACAGAAGCATAAAATGAAGCAGCCCATTATGAAGGAGGACATGCTGAAAATGGTCGACGAATAGCACCCAGGCCGATTTGCTGAAATCCTCAAGACAGCCTCTGAGCACATTGAGATCTTTCCAGTTGACTTTAAGGAAATCAACTCAACCAGCCACTCACAGGACCTCATCAGCAAACTGAAGGTCCCCACCAATGGGAGGGGGTGTGCTGGCAGGGGCTTGTTGATTTCCAGCCAGTCCCTTGATGACCGTCCTGGGTGTGATCTTCATGAAGGACAACCGTGCCTCTGAGGAAGACATCTGGAAATTCCCGAACATGGTGCAAGGATATGCTGGGAGGAAGCACTTCATCTAGAGGCAACCCAGGAAGCTCCTCACCCAAGCTCTGGAGTCCCTGGAGTACTGCCTGGTGCCTGCCACTGATCCTCCATGTGGTGAGTTCCTGTGGGTCCCAGGGGCCCATGAGGAAAACAGCAAGACGAAACTGCTAGAATTTTTGGTGAAGGTCAACAAAAGGGTCCCCAGTGTCTTTTAATCACCAAATGAGGAAGATCTGCACGGTGAGAAAGAGAGGGCCCGAGCCAGAGCTGCAGCCGGGGCTGGCACTCTGCCGCAGCCGCTATGAATTCCAGGGCCCTCCCCAGCAGCTTCCACAGCCCCTACTGAAGTTTGAGACAGTTTTAGTCATCCTGTAGGAAAATGTGATACCACAATAGGGATTTTCAGGGAAGGAATCCCACAGTAAAATAGCTGGGATAACGGTATAGAGAAATAAAACAGATCACCTTTGAATTTCCTTACTCCCTTCAGTCTTTCGCTTTATAAAAGTAAATGATTTACACCTTGGTGTGCTTAGCATGTTAAAGAATGTAGGAGATATTAAATCTTAACAAGTTAGACTTTCTCTTTATTCCCCAAACATCAGTTGAGTATCTGCTCTTTGGAAGCCTTTGTATTAGTGCTGGGATGATAAGATAAAGCCCGAGCCTCTGCCTATAGAACTTCAGAAGCTAGGAGCTGCCATCACAGAAGGAAGATGTTGCGATATCCTCTACGACTTACGAGAAAGGGTGGGAATGAAGGTGTCACAGGTGAGAGTAGTAAAGTGTAAATTCCTTAGGCAGGGTACTTTAAGTTTCAGGAAGCTGCAAGTCAATACATGCAATGTAATTATAATTAAAAGTGCCTTATGGAGTAGATGAGACTGTGGGAGTGCCGAGTAGAGGCCAGACCCTCAGATGATGTGTCTCAGAGCTGAGGGAAAAAAATCTCTGAATGGAAAACTACACTGTGGTGTAAGGTCTAAAATTAAGGTCCAATGTCAGGTGCTCCTTGATACTTGGAGAACCCAGCAGGGCTCTGAATTGCCTAACTGCAAGTTCTCCTCCACACCGTGCACATGCAGGAAAGGTCCTGTAACAACCAACCATCTTTATCAAGGGACCAAGGCACAGACACATCTTGCTTATTCCTAAATTGCAAGTTTTTCTTGCCTACCAGTTGGTGAAATTTTTCAAACAAACCGATTACTTGCTCCCATGGGGACAGGGGATTGCCTCATCCTCTGATACTGCAAACCCTGCCTTCCACAGGCCCGTTTATTTTATTTGTTCTTGAGTGCAACCCCATGTTGTGCTAGGTGGCACATGGTGTTCCCCCTGAATCTCTGCATACACTTGATTCATAAACAGCTGTTTGTCTCATCTCTACAGTGTCCAGTGTGTTTGGACACCACACAATCATACTGGGGAAAATCTTTCCTCACCTCACGGGGTGTCTAGGAGGCTGTGAAAATATACTACTGTGAATTACTTTGGCATCATAGATAAGCCAGTAAGAAATCTTCATCTAGGGCAGTGTACTCACTTGCTTGGCTAGGGCTGCCATAATGAAATGCCACCAACTAGGAGGCTTAAACAACAGAAAGTAATTTTTTCCTAGTTCTGGAGGCTGGAAGCCCAAGATCAAGGAGCTGGCATTGTGGTTTTGTCTGAGGCTGCTCTCCTTGGCTTGTAGCCCACCTCCCATCCCTAGTCCTCTGCCTTATTCCTCAGCTCCCCCATCTCATATCACTCCTGGGACACAGACTCATTTTCTGTAAAATTTGCAAGTAGAAAAATTACTCAAGGGTTTGCAGGGATGTGGCATTTCCCCGAGATGTCTTTCATTATAGAGACAGGCACCAAGATGAAGACCTAGAAGAATGTTGACTGAGTACCTCGCCCAAACAGCGCGTCAGGTAGAGGTCCCTCACCTCCACTGCCAGGCTGATTTCTGCAAGGAAGGTCTCAAGGAGGTGAGGGCCTTGTAAGGGCAGTGGCAGAGGGAAGTGCCTACAGTATTAAGGAATATAACTGAGAGTCCTGTGTGAACTTGAGGGTATTCCACCCCAAAACAGAGGGTTCAGCAGACATCCTGCCCCTGCTGTCACCCTACAGTGACTCTGTTATAACTGAGGGGGAGAGTAGCGCTCCCCAGAACTTCCGGGTCACCAGAGATCCCGCCCCTGCTGTCAGTCTACAGAGACTCCATTATAACTGAGGGGGAGAGTAGCGCTCCCCAGAACATCCGGGGTTGCAGAGATCCCGCCCCTGCTGTCAGTCTAGGGAGACTCCGTTATAACTGAGGGGGAGAGTAGCGCTCCCCAGAACATCCGGGGCATCAGAGATCCCTCTCCTGCTGTCAGCCTTGAGAGACTCTGTTATGACTGACGGGGTGAGTAATGCTCCCCAGAACATCTGGGGCAGCAGAGACTCCACCTCTGCTGTAAGCCTAGATAGACTCCATTATGACTGATGGCGCTCCCCACAACATCTGGGGCAGCAGAGACCCCGACCCTGCTGTGACCCTACAGCGACTCCGTTATAACTGAGGGGAAGAGAAGCGCTCCCCAGAACATCCGGGGCAGCAGAGATCCCGCCATTGCTGTCAGTCTTGAGAGACTCCGTTATAACTGAGGGGGAGAGTAGCTCCCCAGAACATCCCGGGCATCAGAGATCCCGCTCCTGCTGTCAGCCTTGAGAAACTCTGTTATGACTGACGGGGTGAGTAGTGCTCCCCAGAACATCTGGGCAGCAGAGACTCCACCTCTGCTGTAAGGCCAGATAGACTCCATTATGACTGATGACGCTCCCCACAACATCCGGGGCAGCAGAGATCCCGCCCCTGCTGTCACCCTACAGCGACTCCGTTATAACTGAGGGGGAGAGAAGCGCTCCCCAGAACATCCGGGGCAGCAGAGATCCCGCC